TTGATTATCCTTTTGATTTTCATTTGCAGTCATGTTTTGGTAGTTTGATCCTAACCTAAAACATAGGGATGACACTTCTGTCAGAGTTTCTCTGGCTGTAGCAAGTGAAGGTCTTGGACTTCCATCTGTTCTGTTCCATCAGTTTTTCACTGATACCTTTGTAGAATCACAGAATAGAATTATAGAATCATTTAGGTTGGAAAAGGCCCTTAAGATCATTGAGTCCAGCCATTAACCTAGCATTGCCAAGCCTACCATTAAACCATGTCTCTTAAGTGTGACATCTAAAGTGCCATTTTAAATACCTCCAGGGATGGTGACTCAACACTTCCTATGTCTGTCTTCAAATGTGGTAATTTGTCTTAAAATATAGAAGTTTTAGCTGACCATAATTACCCCTGATAAGTGACTTGTTAGTGTAACAGTTTGTTTTACAGGGACAAACAGGTAATTAGATGTTCCCTGTAAGGTCATGTAGGAAAATATTAATAATCATAATCACTAATGCAAAGTAAAAATTAACACTATAATCACAACTACTACAGCTACCAATAACTGTGTGATGATTTATTACATCATTATTCCAATTTTAAAATAGCAATTTATGTGCTAATGAGATAATGTAAAGTATAATTATAGACTAATTTAAAAAAATATCTCATTACCATAGAGCCAATCTTGTTAGTGTTGTGCATTCAGAAGTCTTGCGGAACTTAGGCAGGGTTTAAGTGGCTATGTGTTTCTGGAACAGAGCTCATATTCTGTTTATGTGGATGCATGCCTCCTAAAAATCTGGTGCTAATTTCTTTGCTTCTATAAATACGTGTGTATTGATCCATAACGTTTTTACCACCTCTATTCTGTCTAAAACTAGAATCATTTAGACTGGTAGTTGCTTGAACAATATAAGAAAGGTTAACTCTCAACAAAAAATAATTTAAATTTTATTTACAATTTATAAGAGCTCGTGTTTAAATGAACTTCCAATGAAGTATTTCTAAACATTAAGCTTAAAAAAATAATTCTAAATATTTATGATTTAGTCAGGAACATAAATGCTCTTTGGCTAGACTTAAATGTGGAGGAAGCTTTCTGTAGGAAGGAAACAAAATGGTTTAATTCATGAAATAAGCATCAACTCTGGATAGCAGAGAACTATCAAAAATAAAAAATATTTTAAAAGGATAGAAAATTTTAAAGTACTAAATAAGGAAAATGGCAGGAACTTATTGCAGTTTATTCCTTACATTACTTGTGAAACTATATAAAATCCCTTTTTCAATTTCTTCATAAGTTTTTAAAATTTCTCCCAATTAATCTGTTTTTTTTTTTCGTTTTTTTTTTTTTTTTTTTCTACACACATGATCAGCTTGCATATGTTCAAAGTAATGTCTTAATGGATTTTAATGTGTTTCAGGTTCAGGTACTGTTCATTTCACCAGTGTAAATCTATAAAGCAGGACGACACAAATCGTGTAGCAGGCCTGCATGGGTATTTGTGATCAGGTCATTATTCTAGCTTCTTCTGTGTTGTGTTGTCCAGGCATACCTGACTTAGCTTTATACTAAGTGTCCGCCTGGCTTCTTAAGTGAGCTTTGCAGGCAGTGTTGAACTCATGACTCCTGTGTCTAGGTGTTTTTTGAATTGTCTAATGTTTTTAGACAAATTTAATTTGGGTGTGTCTTAGCAATGTAATAGTCACAAGGCTGATTAGCATTTAAACATTCTGCCTGTCTCAAAGCCATACCATTTAGGTCAGATGGGGACTATTATTTAAATATTGATGTGACCTTAATTTTGTTTGCAGATATTTTGATTGGCTTGATAAATTCCTTCCTGAGTTAAAACTAACATGTTTGAAGATGAAATGATTGTGAAAAGCAGCTAACCTTAGCACTGTGTAGCAGCATAACGCTACTGTTACTTGAATGTGCTGACATTGTCTTTTGGGGAAAGTTATCTACCATGTAAAGATTATTTCAAAGAACTCTGAGAAGGTTGGTACATTTGTTGACAGCCTTTAATTGCTCTCCTGCATACAGTATACACATGGTTCTGCCAGTAATTTTTCCAAGTTTCTGACAGCTCTTTAGAACTATTTTGGGCTGTTGCTGATTTCAAAATGGTACTGGAGCTGAGTATCCACTTGTGATCTTATAGCCAACTTTTAGTGAGACATTAACACTTAATGTTGTTCAATCATCAGGACTGTGAGGACTTAGTGCAAGAAAAAAGGTTCTATCTGCAGCTCAGCAACTTGATGCATGGCTTAAATCAGTCCATGCACTAAATGCTCACAAATGAATGTAGTATCATGAAAAACTGTGCAGGCCTTGGAATAATTGGTAATGTAACTATTTATGTCTTTCCATTAAACTTAGTTTATATTGAAGACTGGTAGAGGGTGAATTTTTTCTAATAAAATATGATAACTTTAAGGCTCAGTTATTTTCTATGATGCATTTTGGATGAAATAATCTTAAAATCTTTGCCTCATCATGTTAGGTATTTTGAATTCAAATCTTTGAATAAAAAAATCTAAAATTTATACTTAGTGGTTCTCCCAGTTTATATCTGTTTGTATCCATGAACGATCACGTGAACAACAACTGTACTCTTTTGTCTTTTCTTTCAAAACCTGAACGCACATTTGCCATGCAATTTTATTACAATTGTATTTTCTGCCTCTGCCTAGGAAAACAAAATATCATTCAAAGGAACTTTCAGTCTCTTTTTTTTTTTTTTTGTTATAGTGATATAATAGCTTACATGTATTTATTTATTTGTTTGCTTTTAATTTGAATTTCACTGTGAATGTCTGAGGTTAGTTGATGATTTAATTTCACATAAGAAGTGCCTGCTGCTTGGTTTTGTTCTGTTTCAAGATTACTGTAAGACCAAAGATAAGACCAAATTTTCTTTAGCATTGACAAGCACTTCTTCAGTTTTTGGCCCAGCACATTCAGGAGAAATTATCATCACATAATGGATTTATATACTTAGCTGCAATTATTAAACAAAAATGGATTCCAAGCACTGTGTTCTGGTCCTGAACTTTGTCCCTAATCCTGCTAAAGTTCAATTGAGTACCAATTTACATCACTGTTTAGTCCCATTAACACTCACCAGAACTCCTTAGTGTTGGACTTCCAGCTAGATATGTGCATAAGCCCAAGAAAGATCAGACCCATTTATTCCACATATGCTATCTTGGTAAAAGAGCTAGCTGTAGTTCCCTGCTATTACCAGTTCCTATGTAATGACATTTATTACTGCATTTTGAGGCAAATCTTATTACCAGAAGCTGCTAGACTCCTATTTTGCTATTAGCTGGGTACAATTAGAGTTGCATTAATCAGTTGTGCTTGTTCAGCTGAGTTTAGATTTTCTTTTGCTCAAGGGAAGATCCAAGTTTTTAAGCCAGTACTTCAGACAATTTGAAACTGTGACCATAAATAATTCTGGAAGTTTTGACCATATGCAGTCAAAGAAGTGTGTGTTACTTTATGAATTCTAAGGAATGGTTATCATCTTCAACCACTATTTATACCCACTTTAATGTGGTTTTTTGCAATATCAGATCTACTCTTCCTAATGATATGTACATACCAAAGTCTGAAATGACAAGCCAGCCTGCCTTTCTAACTTTGAAGGTACTTAAGAATTTTTCAGCATCACAGTGTTAGCCTGAAATTTGGGGGATGGGGGAAAAAAAAAATCATCTTTACCTGCGCAGATGCCTGTTTATTTTCAGCTTTGTGCGGGATGGCTTCTTAAGCTTTAGATAAATTAATTGGGATAATCTTCCCATGGAACTGTGGTATTTAACTGTTCCTCACTTCTCTGCTTAGTAGCTTCCTCAAGGAAAGCTCTCTGAGTTTTGAGTGGCTGATGTACTTTGATTTCCTCATTCGAGGGGGCTTGGGGATGGGGGGGAGAAAAAAGCCTTGAGTTCAGCATAGTTCCCAAATTTCAGTGTTTTGAATTGTTTTATGGAGGTTTTTGAAGACCCTGGATAAGAGTGGTGCCTCTATAGGAAAGGGAGATATCTAACAAAAGCTGTTGCCTTACAAGGGCAAAGTTTCCATCAGGTCTGGCTATGTAGGTTATAAAAGGGTTACTACTTACATAGTTCTAGTCAGCTAACTCTGTAGAAAGTAAAACACGAATTAATATCTCAATTCAGATGTTAATGTATACCCTGTGAGGTCAGAAGGAGGGCAGTATCAGACAAATGTGTCTTTCAGTGTAAACGTGGCATTAGAGTTAACCTACACCACCAGTAAGAGCTATCTGAATAATGTTCAGCAGGTACACCACCACCAAAAATACTAAAAGTAAAATAAATCCTAGTGGCCTGAGCTACAGAAAGGAGTACAGAGCTTGTCTTGGCCTGTTAAATCCTGGAAGTCTGAACATGGAAGATCTTGTGAGAAAATTGCATGTACTAAATCAAATCAAATTCAAAAACCTTTGGATGAATGAGTGCAAAGGCAATGTGGGCTGGAGGGAATGAGTCTAAATAGAAAGGAGAACAGTTGCTTACTTCTAGCTAAAGGGATTTCATCATAATTTTGCTCTAAGTTAAGATTATTTCAGGGCCAATGAGATGAGAAAACCTGGAAAGATGTTTTGGTGTGGAACAAGCATACTAAAGGACCTGCATGTTGAGGTAGTAGAAAAAATGATACGCTCCATTATTTCTAGTTTCATGTCAGTCATGTTATGTTTTGACTTTGAGCCACTGTGCTTAGTACTGAAAGTTTCTTTAACAAATTGCTGCTGAGATAAATGGGGATCATAATGATAAAGTGGTACAGTCTGTAATTTATGACATTTTTTGATTCTAGGAAAAGACCCTTGTCTTCCACAAAAAATATATAATCCACATTTCTCAGTAGCTCTACCTGAAGAGCAGAACTTACAGTTATTGGGAGGAAAATATTTAAAGTGATTACTTACATTTTCTGCAAAATAATTTTTTTTTTTTTCTTCACAGTAAAACCAACAGTTATTGATGTTGACATTTATGTCAACAGCATTGGTCCCGTATCATCAATAAATATGGTAAGTGACTTGTTAACAAAAATTTTTATCTGGGCTACCGGTTTTGGCATCAATACTAGCTTTTGAAAAAAGCATAAATACCACCAGGATAGGTTGTTTTTATTGCTGATTTAGTTTTGTTTTCAGCTATAGCTCTGTTTTTCAGATGAATCTTTTGTGTCTCTTCAAGAAAGGAACAAACCTACAAGCCAGTATTATCCTCTGTCTACCACAAAATTCTGGTAGATCTTGAATAGCAAAATAGCCTTCATAGGAAAAAAACCAACGTATGAAGCATAACAAGTGTCAAGAAAAATCTGAATTTTGACAAGAGTCAGTCGAATATGCAGAGCTTCATAATGTGGAATTAATGAGAATCATCACATACTATCAGTGTATTTATTTGAAATTCATCATCTCTTCAGTGGTTACTCTTCTTTTACTAAGTTATTAACAATATTTAGCCTTAAAGTACAATTCTGAAGAGCTTGTACGTAGCTATGCTGCATGTACAAAGGCAGGAGAAACTGAAGGAGTCTGTGTGATGGTGTGACAGTAGCAAACTTAGCAAAACATAAATCATTTGTTGCAGTCTTAACTCCAGCACATTTCTCAGTTCTATAGTAATACATTCAGATTTAGAAAGCAAATCATTTCTTGTGTCTTTATGTAGTTACAGAGGTATGGGTTACTGTAGCTTCTTGTGCACCTTCATGTTCGGAATCAGTACAGTATTCCTTCTTGTAAGCTAAGCTGAATTTTTCCTTAATACAGTTTGGTAACAGAGGGCCTGTTAATATGTTAATTTACTTACAGCTCTTACACTAACCTCTTCAGAGAAATTTCTCTTTTTCACAATGACATTCAAATGCTGCTCTGTACAATGTCCATATAAGAATCTAATAAATGCGCTGCATATACATTTTGTGGTTTGGAGTAAAAACTCCTGAATTTGAAATGTGGTCATTCATCCTGGTTATTTGTTCTTGCCTGTGTATGTGGGAGAATGGAAATTATTGCAGCATGTCAAATACTGGATAGTCAGAGATTCCCATGCCCCCTGGCAATGGGAAATCTGGCAAATACAGACAGAACAAATTATGTGCTGGGACCAACTTGGACACATATTTGGAGTGTGAATTGTATTGGTCATATTTCATATGAAGCACCGAACATCAAGCAATGACAGTACCTTCTTCATTCTTGAACTAATAAACATCTAATTATTTTGCCCTTCCCCAGCTGTGTGCCAAAATGACTTGTCCAGGGAATAATTTATCAAAAGACCTATTTTCTGGCTTGCATTTCCATATACTCTAGGAGTGGGTACTCTGTTAAGAAACAGTGGGGACAATGGTAAGGATGCTTACTTTTCAAAGCCTTTTTGGGTGCTGGAGTTGTATGTGGAATAATGATTAAGAAAGCATTTGATCAGAACCGATTCAGATAGGAAAAAGGAAAAAAAAATAATAGAAGGAACCAGTGGTTCTTGGAAGATTGTTAGGGCACAGTCGAAATATGACTAATTTACTTATCCTTTAACTTTGAGTTCAGAATATCTTATGTCACCAAGATGGAAAGACACCAGCTTAAAAACTGCATCCTGTATCTCCTTGGTAGCAGATGATCTTAATAGGATTGCTAATGAGTATATGGTGTAGAGAAATTCCTTGGCTGCAGCTGAAAAAAACCTGTTTATAATCTGTAAGGGCAAATGATTAAAAAAAAAAAGATGAAATATAAAATATAGGTACCTGAAGTTTTAAAGACTTAAGTCTGTATAAAACTTTATTTAAATTTCTGAACAGAAATGGGTCATGTTTCAGATATGCTTGTGGAAAGTATATCCCACTGAAACTCAGTCTAAACTAGCTAAGCACTTCTGATTTTCACCTTTGTTCTCAAACCTAGTTATCAATACAGGAGATTAATATTAAGCACCCAAATGTAATAGCAAACTGTCTTCCAGAAGCTCAATTTCTGCTCTATTACTTTGGATCTTATCCAAACTTACATGAAAGAGCAGAAAGGGGCTTGTAGTCTCAAATTTACAATGAAGGTAAGTCCTCCTCTCAGACCTACAAGCTATGTTATTTCGTGACTCTTCTCCAGTGGAAGAACTGATTGAGGAGTTACTTTTCTCCCCATTTGTGTTACTTAATTTTTGTTCTGTTGATTCCATGATTCTAAGATTCTGTTTGTCTACAGTATGCAGTAGCACTGTGATGCTCTACCAGAAAAAAAAAAACAACCAACCAAAAACCAAAAATAACCCCCCAAAAACCCAACCCAACAAACAAACAAACAGACAACATTTTTTGGGATTAAAAATGCTATTAAAAATATTTTTAAGTAAGCAGATTTTCATATACCCTGTGAACTGCTGGAGCATGGGTACATGTGAATTAGCTGGAGATTACCTATGGCAGAGGAAGAGGAGGGAAGGGACCATCTTCCACCTGATTCCTGAACTGTTGAAGGGAGATGAACGTGTGTGAAAATTGTGCACAGAATTTAGAGTAGTATTCTGAGAGGAAAAATAAAGTATTCCTGTGAGAAGCTACATATGCTATGTTGCTCAGCAGGATAGGAACTTTTAGCTTTTCTCCACTAAATTATTATTAAAAGGTGAGCTATTCTGTCAAGGCAACTCGGCAAGTTGATTGAGCAAAAAGAAAGATGATTACATTGATTTCCATCTCTTCTATTTCAAGAGTGAGATCATCAACATGTAGAAGGAAGACTTCCCTGCTGTGTACTTCCAAACTTAGCCCTTAGCTCTATCATTTTTTTCTAAATCTGCAGTGCTTCTGAGGCAAAGTCATGTGGAGCTTCTCTAAAGACCAGACTCTGCAGGTATATTATCAGTTTTCATCAGTGCTTTCCATCCTGTGGGTGAAACCTAGGAAGTAAAATAATTTTCCGTAAGTTATCTATTGAACGGATGTTCAGTTGAATGCTAATGCCAATTCTGTAGAGTAAAGCTTTTCAGATGTCAGTAACTTTGTTGTAATTATGATTAGACTTTAGCATAAGCAGATCTCATTGTTTCTTTAACAGTCAGGGAAAAGACAGGTGCTACCAGACACCTACCTACAGCAAAGATAACCTCAGCTGAATTGTATATGAATACTTGTGACTCTGAGAAAAAAGAAATCCTCTTAGACTGAGATTAGAAGTGCCACAAGGGGAAAAAATATTAGGGATCCCTCCAGATAGGCTTGCAGTCAAAGCAAAGGCAATGTTCTCTGTGGCAAAGATGGCATAAGCCACAGGAATATATGGTTGACCCTGCATTCCAAACTGTTTGCACTTTCCCTGAAATGCAATTGTTGTGAATGCTTCATCCCTGGTGGTGTTCAAGGCCAGGATGGACAGAGCCTTGGGTGACATGGTTCAGTGTGAGGTGTCCCTGACCATGGCAGGGGGGTTGGAACTGGATTATATTAAGGTCCTTTCCAGCCGTAACTATTCTGTGATTCTATGATTCTAAAAACCCTATCACTCATTTCTTAGTTGCTTTCAAAAATATGTAGAACCTTAAGATTTCCAGAAAAGACAGGAGAGATTGTATGAAGGTAATGTAGATGCTCTGCTATTACAGATTCATCTTTAGAACATCTTTTATGATGACAATTGAAACTTGTTTTCTGGATAGACAGTGGTGACTCTGTCTGTGACATGGAAGGTTATTTGGGGAAATAGTCTAAGAGAAGTTCATGTTAATTAGCAAGGAAAAGGAATCATGTGAGAACAAAAAAGTAAAAGCAGGCTGAATAATTAACTAAGTGATATTGGGAGGCAGTCTCAAGTGGCAGTGGCTTTGAAGGAGAAGGTAATTTCAACATTTAGATCTATGGCTTGATGTTATGAAATGACAGAAATGACTGATACTAGATAAGAGTATTTTGAAATTGAAAATTCTGAGATGTTTTAATGCATGTTCAGAAATTTTAGGGTGTCTTGTTTAACAGATAAAAGCCATCTATTGAATGAATATCTTGATGCCTTCCTTTTATAAAAATCATAATTGGATATGAACTTGAACTCATTTAAAAAAGATCCATACACTAGTTGATTTAAAAGTAAATGACACATGGATGTTCTGAGCCCAACTAAGTCTTCCTGTATGCATATTTTATCACTTTGTCTTGGTTTTCATCTCTTCATAAAGAAAGTTACAGAAATTGTCAACTTGCTATTTCATGTTAGAACGTCATTAGCGAACCTGCCTTGTAGGGTGCAGTATTCATTTCTATTGCAAGACTTTATCTTTATTTGAAAAAAACTTTGTCATACGTGTAATCATAATGAACATGATTCCACTGATGTTAGGGATCCTTTGAGTGAGTTTTAAAAATTTTAAAATTCACCTGCAATCTTGTTTCTATTTTTCCCCCACACTTTATGCTGTAAAATGGGTGTATGAATTCTGGATCACTCAGTTTTCGTATGTTAGTGTATTTTTTTTTTTTTTTTTAACACTTCCCATTCAAAATGATGTCCAGGAAGCTTGTGCTTTTGCATTAAAATCCATGATCCAGTTTTTTTTCAACAACCCACGTCTTGTCAACCACTGCAAAGGTTTTTAAGTTACTTCATAAAATTTGAATCTCAGTGTGATTTACTGTACCCAGGTTTTCTACAGATAAGCTGCAATGACTTGTGTATAAAAGAACAGAAAGAGGAGAGAGACCATGTCAATGCTGCTGCAAAGTGTGAATCGGATGTAACTGATGGGGAAAAAAACCTCCCCTAGAAGTAGTTCTGTGAAACAAAAATGTAAACATGCTGAAATTATATAGACTATTAAATCTCAATAACATCAGAGTCTGTGTACACACATATAGTCTTAAGTGAGTAGTTCCAGGCATCTGAGGCTGCAGCTCAAATTGCTGGTGAAGGAAGAATTTGATGCTTATACGGTTTTAGCAACTGGCCTTTCATTTTAAGCCAGCTGTACATAATGTTGAAGAGGCAGTGTGAGAAACAGGCCTATAAAGTGCACTTACCTTTTCATA